AATTGTATTAGAAAATAATAATTTCTCATTGTAAATGAAATATTATATTTTAATTCGTGGCTTCTTGTTTTGTTTTTAAGATTACGTCCAATAGTTGATTGGAAACTGATCAAAAGTGGGCCGAGTTATTGTTAACAGTCGTATAAAATAATTATTTTTACGAATAAATGAAATACTTTGATATCTCAATTAATATAATGCATAATCTTGTTTCTTTTTTAGTTTCGTCTTCAGTTTATTTCAAGTCAACACTTCAATGGGTAGCGGGTGGATTTTTTCTTAGCAAAGGGCGCCATTTGCTAAGAAAAAATTTACTTCAGGGATGCGACCCTGCCCACGCGAGCCTTGATTCTATCTTACCCCCCAAAGATAGAACCATGTCCTTCCCTATATGAAGTATACTCATATGAATTAGCATGAATTCATGTGAGTACACTTTGYTTTTTAAAGTAAAMCCCTTTATACATTTTTTTTGTATTTTTTTAATTTTRCTTTTTTTTTAACTCGCGATTTTGCAAGCATAGCTATGCATGCACTTAGCATAGGAACTGAAACTGCATTGTATGGGATGTCTACCAACGTTTTTTGTCAGTCAAGCCCAAGGATTAAATTCCTCAAGCTTGCTATTAACACCGGTGTCGGACTGTACGTGCAGCGTAAGTTCCTCGTAATAATAATAATAGTCAGTAGATTAGTCCAACCGTTGGGAAAACACTTAAAAAAAAAATCGTAAAAAGTTTTACTTTAAAAGGCCCATTTTTCCTCTCCTTCCCTTTCCTTCCCTTTCCTTTGTTTTTTGTTGTTGCAGGTTACATAGGAGGAAGACCATACTAGGACTTAGTTATAATAAAATATAGTGTAACGTAAAATTATTTGTATAATTAAATTTATAATTAAATGTATTATTTTAATTTGTTTATTTGTCTCCCCGTAACATTGCACGCATGTGATAATTATTCTTAATGTATTTTATTTGTTCATAGATTCCATATAACAACCCATAATTGCATACATTTTGTATTACTTTACTTTTTTTTATGTAGATTGAAAATTATTATCTATAAAATATTCATTAATTGTAATCTTCGTATGTGTAATTATTAAAATTATATTAAAGTGTATTAATTTGCAATAAAAATCATTAATGTAACTTGAGATTTTTTTTTCAGATGCACTCCTCGTTTTCATTTTCTCATTCAGTTTTCAAACTTTTCTTTTCATTCTCAATAGTAATTAATTGTAAGGTTTTTTTAAATTAAACTCTTAGGGTGTGGGCCTAAGAGTGGGGCTTATTAAAAAATGTTCTCTAGGTGATCATTTTCTTTGGTTTCAATTTAATTCGGATGGGGACATCTTCAGGATGCACATCCCGGGTCTTCGGAAGCGGTTACCTCCTCGTGGTTAGACCTGGGCAATGGTATTTTACTTTCAGTATAATGTTTAACATATTTTATATATGTTACACATTCCATTGCAAGTAAAATCTAGCCAAAGACCGCTTACCCATAAACATTATAATTGTAATTAGTTTCTTTTAACATCCTAATTAATATCATATTCTTTTATTCCTTTCCTTGGTTCCTTTTATCCATCTAATATACAGAAACTAATTACTTTATAATGTTTTTTAATAACTTTAATGTATTTACAGATACCAGGTAATAATCCAAAATTGTTGACATTTAATTATAATTTTACTTTTTTTTTTTTTCCAGAAGATAATTCATTTCAATGTATCTGCAAGTGCACCTTTTAAAATGATTTTCCTTTTTTTTTTTTTTATACAAGTCCAACGTGAAACGATCAAGAATTATTTGAATTTAATTTTTCATTGTTTTTTTTATTTCACAGAATAAGATTAATATTTTAATAAACGGTGTACTTCAATAAATTATAATTATTCGTTTATACTCAGTCGCGATCTATAAAAAAAACATTGCACTCGATGCATTCATTGCATCTCTTTTATAATTAATTATATTTATTATAATTAATATAAATATTATTTAATGTGTGTTTGTATATATTGTTACTTATAAATTTCATCTATCAGTAAAAAACTTTTCTCTTAAAACCCCGTTTACTATGCAACACCTTTTATACACGTGTAATACTGCGCAATCTATACGTAGGGGTTTGGAAAGAAGAAAACTGTCTTATCGACGGGATTACTGTTGACCGACATTACCGACGTTGTATAAAGTGTTATCTACTTTCAGGCGCTACGTAATTTCTTCTTCATTTTCATACATTAATATAATAACAAATGCATTGTTAATGAAATCTATTATACGAGAAAACAATATCTCGAACAAAATAAAATAATTAATAGTGAATATTCTTATATACACTTTCAATGTATAATTCTAATAAAAAAAAAATTAAAATATCGAAATAAATTAATAAATTTAAAAAGATTTTGATTTAATTAACGAAACACACACACACAATTAACGAGATCAATATAAACTCGTAAGATTTGCTTCAGTTAACATCGAGTTGGCTTATGTGACGTACTTTTGCAAACAAATATCAACTCTTCCAGTAGCCGTGATCGTCTAGTGGTTAGGACCCTACGTTGTGGCCGTAGTAACCCAGGTTCGAATCCTGGTCACGGCAATGTTGAGCTTTCAAGCTCGCATTGTCACGGTGGAAGATTATTTTTTATTTATTTTTTTTATTTTTTCTTACTTTCACGATATTTACCATTATCTTTATCGTTAAATATGATTACGTAAAAATTTTTTTTAATATATTATTTATCCCCATTTTATTTTAATATAATTTTCGCGTGACAATTTAATGATAAAGAAAAATAGAAAAAATAATAATAATAATATATGAATCGTTCCTTAATGAACAATGTAATTAATAATTTGCATAATTGGGTGTATAAACAAAAAAATGTACTCGAAGTATATAATTATTATTATTATTATTATTGTTAATAACATCGTTTCTCTTGGAATCGTTAGAAATTTATTCTTCATTTTTAATTAATGTACTTTTGTTTTACGACATGTAAAATTATATATCTATTTTTTCTTTTCTAGTATTGTTTTCTAAGATCTTGAACAAAAAAAAAAAAATGTTTTTCCCCTCTTCTTTCTTGAACGATGAAGATTTTGACGATAAAAGGAATCATATATATACGTGCATGTGCAGTATCTCATAATTTTCCATTCTTACGACGCGTGCAATTATTATTATTATTATTATTATATCTTTTATATTTATATTGTTACGTAGAATCGTAAAATTGATTATATCTTAATACTTCTTAAAACTATTTCAAAATTCTTCGAAAATAAACATTGTAACGATAAAAAAAATATATAACGTTTCAATAAAAAATATTTCAAATTGTTTTACAAATGATAATAAAAATTATATGATTAATCGTATATATTGTAAATAATTAATAATTACTTTTGTTGTGTGTAATATTAAGATCTTTTTTGTATTTGATTTATTAATTAAATATTTTGTAATATTTTTGTTTTTTATTCTATTCTTTTTATAATTAATTTCACTCACAACTGTATAGAATATAATATTCAAATAAATCAAATAAAACGTGATAACGTAGGAACAATTGCAAAATTTGTGAAATAATATTGACCAGGAGTTCGTAATTATTTTCATTATTCGTGGTCAACGATTGAAACAACAAAAATTATCGTTGATGACCTTTGAACTATATAACGTACAATGTTCTCTCTTTTTATTCTTCTATTTTTCTTTTCCTGCATTGTTCTCATATTTATCTGATTCATTTTATATATCTTTTATATAAAAATTCATTACGATAACTTTGTTAAATCAAATCATCTTTTAAACTCATCCACACACACACACACACACACAGACACACTTTCTTATTTATTCGTAAATCAAATAATTAATATCATTTATAATTTTTAATGTGTGTTTAATTGCATACATTTCAACAAATTTTATGTTCTCGTTGTTGTTCATGATTAAAAATAATTTTCGTTTGTCTGATCGATTAAAAAGACTTTATTTGAACGAATAAAAAAAAAG